AGATGGCGGAGGAGCTGGTTGGCCGGGATTCTGGGATCCTGGGAAGCTGGGCTAAAACCGAGTTGTCATAGAGACGGAGCAGCACATCCATAGGCCAAAAAGGCAGGTGGGATGGGAAGAAGGACTCCCAGACTCCCAGACTCCAGGACTACGTGTGCCCGCCTCGAAAGCCATTTGTGCTTAATTGCGTGTAGGGCAACTAATGAGCGGAGTTATATACCCAACCAGGAGTCGTAACTGGCGGCAAGGACACCCGGGGACAACCGACTGTTTATAATTTTTACGAAAATGCGAAAAAGAAGCACACGGGGCTTCACACTCCTGCGCCGCCTGGCAAATTTATTTGTAGCGCTGCGAAAAATATTTATATTTTCTTCTTCAAATAAAATGTAACATTAATTTGCAAACGAGGAGCGGGGTGTGTTTTCTGAACTTTGTGCCGTTTGAATTATGCGTGCCAAAGGGTTTGCCAGTTTACCAGTTTACCAGCTTTGCCGGCCATTTCCAAAGAGTCTGGCTGAGAAGAGGCCATTAAGCGCGAATTATATTGGCCGAAAAAGTGCTGTAAATTGCCAGACAAATGACTCGCCAAGGTGTTAATATTGATCACGACTTGGGGTGTGGGAAGTCTAACGATTAAGAAATGCCTATAGAGACTTTTAATCCCTCTGAGAAGTTTTTCGTTTGGCTTTAAAGATATATCTTTCATATTCGAACGAAATTGTTGCATACTTTTCGGCACTATTAGAAAAGATTTAAAAACTTATCGATTTTTTTAGTCACCTTGCTCACTGCCTTGAAGATATATAGAGGTGGGGCTTTAAAAAGGTACTTTAATCTATGTAAGAAGTGTTTAGCTTGGCTGTAATGATATATCTCAAACATTCGAAATATGTTATTGCATACTTTTAGGCCATATTAAAAGAGATTTGAAAACCAGATTTATTTATTTTCGACACCTGATTAATTATTTTGCATTATAATACCTTTGAATCCCAGTAGAATAAAACTAGTTGACAGCATGCATAACTGTACTTAAAAAGGCAACGACAGGAGCAAAAAAAACCAAACATCCGCCCAGATCCAGCGGATAGAACCCAGAACTTGCGGTCACTGATTCATGTGACCCCCATCCCAAACTGGGAATAAAAAAAATGGGCGAAAAAAAAAGAAAAACTCGCTATACGCATAATGTCCGAGGATGGGGACTTAAGCAGATGCTGTCGTTGCTACTGGAACCTTCTTACGAGTGTAATTTTTATTTACACAATTTTAAGCTAATATTACGTTCGAGCCACGCCCCAGAATATCCGAGCCGGAATACAAGAAAAAACAGAAGCTGAAGCCTGAAAAAGAACTAAAAGAACAAGGGGGCAACAAACAAAACGCGAACCCGAAAATAAAAAAAAAAAGACAGAGAATTTGTCCCAAAAAAGGATTAATGAAATAAAATTATCTCTTTTTCGGCGTAACGTGAGCCACTGGCAAAGGGGGCGGGGGAATTGAGGGGCTTGTAATGCGGCACCCCCTTACCATCTCCACCCTTGGTTTCATGTACTCCATTTCTTTTTTATTATAATGCCTATTTTAGCACAGTGGAAAAATATAGAAAAAATGCTTATTGTAATATTAAAAAATATGTTTTTTAGAACACTTCTCAAATAAATATCTACAAGTTTGTAATTCCAATGAAAAATTTAATATAAATATGCGCCGAAAAGTATAGTTCAAATTCTTAAAGCAAACTCAAAATACTTTTTTAAAAAACCTTTAAGGAGAAAAATGATTTATATAATTTTAAATACAAACCTAAAAATGATGCATATTTTTTCAGTGTATATCATTTCTTTTTCCATAGCCCTTATCCTTGCCTAACTCTTTTTCCTTCGCTCTGTTTGAGGGCTTTTTTGAAGGAATTTTTTCGCGTAGTATTTGTTATGGGTGGGGGGTTGATAAAGATGGTTTCGGGGGGTGTGGCCTCATCAAGTGGGAACACGTACAAATCTTTTGTGTACCGAGGCCTGCCCAAACTATATGGCCATCTCCCTCGCTTAAGTTAACGTTCAAAGTGCGTGTCTCTGCAGATAAATTCAGCCTCTTTTTTTCCTTGGTCCTGGTAATTCTCATATTTTAACATTTTTAAATGCATTCAAATTAAGTAGATGGAGAGGGGTGCTGGGCGCAGAAGGGTTGCACAAACAAAAACTGAAGAAAAAGGCAGAGGAAGATGGCTAAATTGCATATAAATAACAGGAGGTAAAAAAAATATCCTGAACATTCCATTCCAGATGTTCCACGAATCGACGTTAATTGGTTGACTTGGGGATTATTTTGGATCTATAGCAGCTGCTCTTTAAGGTAACATTTAGTCGGGGGGTAGTGTCATTTATCTTTGGTCGAGTTCAATAAATTTAAAACATTTTAAGATATTTAAGTCTTTCATAAAAAAAACTAGATTTCTTTATATCAGAACACCTCTTTTGATTCCTTTCTTCAACCTTAACTTTTAAGCTCTTATAATTAAGAATCTTTATGTTTATCCGAAATCCTTTCAAAGCCCTCCAACCATTCCATTCGCAGGCCACGCCACCGAAAATGTCTGAATTCCATTTTGGAATTAATTCAATTATGCACAAATGTCAAGATGAAATTGTGGTTGGATTGAAATTTTCGCTGACACATAATGGGTTAATGGCACGACGAATTCACCTGAACTCATCCTTGGTGCCACCCCCTCCCCCCGCAACCACTCATTTGTCCAAAAATGTTGAAGCAGCTCCGGCAAAAGTTGATCAAACAAAGGACATAAAGATTTGAAAAACTCGCGCATCATTTCAGACAACCAAATGGCCTCCGACCCCTTATTACCACCTTACTGGCTTTCACAACCTTACCACCTCCGCAACCAGTGATGCCAGATTGGACAAATTTTTAAAATAATCATTAAAAATCCAATGCGATTTAAGATTTATTTAGTTAAAATATTATTATGGCTTATGGTATTAATAACAAAAGACAAGACTGCAAACGAAGGTGAACGCGAATTCTTCAGGATCAGCTTTTTAAAGTAGCGTGTATATTTTGTCATCTCTAGCATACCAGGTACCACCTCTCTGCCCTTTACGTCTCTCTTATCCATTCTTTGTAGCCACCATTCAGCTTCTTAAGTCGAGTCCTTGGCTCTGGCTAAATGAAATACATAAATGTCATTCATTCATTTATGCAAAACTTGTAATAATGACAATCGTCTTAGCCAGCGAGACGTTGAAAACTCCGGGCTAAAGAAGTGAAGATTTAGCTCTACGAAGCCCCACGTAACCCCCTAAAAAGCCATACCCTTTCGCTGACGAGGACCAAATATCCACGCAAAAATAAAGTAGCGCAAAAAAAAGAAGAAAACAAAACCAATGAAAATGAACCAAAATGAAAATTTTCTGTTGACACCGAAAGATTTTCATGGCAAATGCTTGTCAAAAATTTTGTGTGTACGCGCGCGAAAAATTTTTCTGTCAAGGTACGCCTCCTTCCACAGCACCTTTCTTACCCCTTCCACAACAGCTTCCATACACCTTCCCCTAGAATCTTACCACGTTGTTGTTGGGCGGTAATAAAATTCTTAATGTGCCATTAAATCCTTCCACTGGCAACGTCATCAGCGCGTCATGACTTTTGTCGTCGCCAAAAAACCAAAGAAGCCAGTGGCGGAGTAAACCCCCTCAGGGGGAGAGGGGTGTGGCCTGAAAAATTTGGAAAGGGGGCTGAAGAAGGGCAATGGGCAGGGGGTAACTTGGACCAGTCCTGGAATTCCGCCAGGCGAATGGGGAATATCTAACGAAAATGTTCGCTACGAAATGGCACGTAAATAAATTGCAAAGATTTGTCGTTCTCTCTTCTTTGAGGTAAGAAAAGATGGGAAATTCGGGATGGGGAAAGCCCCCTCAATTTTCACCTGCCCTTCTGTGTGGTTTTCCTCGCTGTCAGCGGGCCAACGGAAAAAGGACAACAAATGAGTTAACATTTTTGGTGGATAACAATTTTCATCATCTCCACCCACTGTCATTATGATTATTGTCATTTGGTTGAGGTGATTCAATGCATTTAGATTGCATAATTAAGTTATATCCACCAAGAAAATGTTTCGCTTTGAAATGGCAGGTCGGAGATCAATGGAAGTCCCAGAAAGGGTTAGTCTTCTACATAAAATAATGGTATATAGGTGGATTATTACATGGTTATAATTTAGGGAATTCCAAAAAAATTATTTAAAATATTTACTTTGAGAATATTTTGTTCTCAATATCTAAATTTTTCAAAAAAAGCCTAGGAAAATGTTTCATATCCAATTGAGTTGAGCCCATTTTTTCGTTCACAACTTGGCAAATGCCAGGTCCTCAACCTCTTTTTTCTTAACATTTTCCCATTTTAAATTTTAATTTTTTGCTGCGAGAATTTCGATTGTTGGTGGCCGCCCACGAGTGTTTAATACTCCCCACAACAAAAGCGGCAGTTGGATGGCCACTTGTCGATATTTAACATAATTGTGCCATTGTTCAGGTACCGAGCACATATGTGAAATCAAAAAGAGTTCAAGTGTCAACGTTTAAGTCGAAGAAGGGTGGCTCCAAAGTGCCGGCTCAGGCAGTTAATGGTCGCCAGTAGTGCCCAGATTCAGTTGGATTTCTCCAGGCGGATGTGGTGCCACAAAATTGCAATTGCTTCAAGACCTGGTCCCTATAATTATACTTGCATACATGGCCAAATGCATAAGAATAATCATTGCTTTGTTGTGGAAATATAAGGGACTTGAGAACAAGTCAGTGTTTAGTACCAACGGGGTTTAATGAATTTCTGTGTTAGAAATATTTAAGATCTTGGACATATCTAAAGACTATTATTGCATGCTTAGCAGTTTATTATATTGTAACTTTTCTTGTTTCTAGTTAGCCTTGACTTTGGTGTCACTTTGTCTTTCAAGCCGTCCTGTTGAGACCCTGTGTTTTTCTCATTCAACATTAGAAATTTGAACCGGCAACATCAGACCCTAAATCTTATCGTAAAATCCTTAGCAAAAATTCCAAATTTAACAAGCATATGACATAAGATTTTGTGAAGCAAATCTATAGTGTTTTTTAAATAGGTAAGTTTTTGTTCGTTTTTTTCGTTTTTTTTTTGTCGAAGTCAAAAATAAGTCGTTCTTGATACGAAAATTTGTTAGATTGTAGCAATTGTGTTCAGATATTCAGCACGATGGCAACATTGGCTGCGCAGGGTGGCCACTTTTCGTGAGAGTGGCAAACATTGGTAATAGAGTGGCAATATTTTCTTGAAACAATATATATATTTGTATTAGAGAAAATATTTTTCATTCACATTTGAATTTTCGATGTGAATATTATTAAGTGACATTTTGTTTTTCGTTTTATATAGTTATGCAGCGCTCGACTTATCCACTGATAGCCCGTAACCTTGTGCGGTCCCGTTTGCAGGGGTTAATTGGCGGTGCTCTGAACGATTTTCGCAGGACCATGGCATCAGATTCGTGGGGTCAGGATGGCAGTGGAACTGGAAGCGGGAGTGGCAGCAGTGGTTCCAAAACCTCAAGGGTGGCAACACCGCGGGCCAGTGCCACATCAACGGTGATTAACGATGCGGGCTCCTATTCGCGTGGCACGTATACGGGTGCCCTCGAGCGTCGCATCAATCGGGAGGATAATATGTGGCGGGATCGTAGCTATATCGATACAAAATGGCTTAATCCCCGCGATCCAACCGCCTATCGACCGAATTTTCGCCAAACTGAGCCAACATCGCTGCGAAAGCAGTTCATGCGCAGTCCGGATGAGATATCACGTGAGGTGATGGGTCGCGATTGGGAGGAGACCGTGAAGACCTATAAACGTAGTTCCACCGCCATGAATGCCCAAAAAGGTGGGGGGCGCAACGAGGCGTGGCAGGCTGCGGATACCACACGTAATCGCCAGCAACATTTGCAAATGATGCAAATGCAACAGCAACAGGAACAGCAGCAAAAGCAACAACAGCAACAGCAACAAAAGAAACAGCAACAACAGAATTATTGGGGCAGAAACATGGAACCACCCCAGGATCAGTAATCTCCGTCCAAAAGTCAACGCCTAACATGCCAGTCGAAACAGAAATCTGTCAATATATCCATATACATACCATATATTATCGCAGTCAAGCAGAGTCGTGCTAAAGATCCAGTATCCAATGATCCAGTATTCCGATTCCGTCATAATTGACATTTGTTTCAGTCATTCAGATGATGATAGCAAAAATGCGATAACCGCTGGACCTAGTTATTTTTGGCAGATCTATCATGTAAATTGAATCAAATGATTTGGAACGTCGAATGGTTTTGGGAATTGGAAAAACAGAAATTTCTCATGAAAATATAGATATCATGTACAATTGTCGAATAGTATATGGTTAAAGTGTTTTCTTTTTGATTTCTTTTAAATATTTAGTAAATAGGGAATACCAGATATAGGATGAAAGTGATGCCGCTCTTTAGGTGACTTTATAGCCGGGATAAACCAATCATCCCCGTAATGTCCCCGAAACTCATACTACTATTCCCAAAAGCGCTTCACCAGGTGGATTACCTACGAAACAGCAGAATCATCATCATCATCCTCATCGTCATCAGGCACGTCCGCTTCGGTACGCCCATTCGGTTATATTAAAACCATTTTTCGCTTATTACCAAAAAATTTAAATATTTTGAAAATAATAAACTGCGGGTGAGTTACTAAGTGGCAGCAGCGACGCCCACAAAAAAGCAAACAACGACCCACTCCAAAAGGTAATGGTATTTGGATTGGGTTGAGATGGGTGGTGGGGTAATGTTGGAGTGTTGGGATGTTGGGCGGCGGTATCGTCATCAGCACTTGGTATCATCAAAACGATGCCAAAAGCATGAGCTGCGCTGCTCCTCTGCCCACCTTTAGCCCACACAGTCCTGGCCATTACTAATCCTCCTGCCCAAAGGAACCGAACCCGAAATCCAAGTAACTCCGCACCCGAACCACCCAAAATCCACCCGAACCACTGCTGTGCGATATCAGCGCGCCTCGTGTTGATTGTCGCGCATTGCCATCAATGGAAACCCCCTTCCAGACTCCACAGACCTCAAGTCCTTGCCCCTTTTCGTAGTCCCCCCGCCCCCTTTTAATGAGCATCATGCGTTCGTCATCATGATGATGATAATGGCCAGTGGCTCCCGTAACAAAAAGGGGTTTCTCAAGGCACCGAAAATTGTCCCAAAAAGTATATTTATAACATCGTAATCACCCATTTCTGCCTCTAGCTTAAGCTATTACAAGACTATTGATAGAATTATTTATCACGACAATTCAAGAAAACGCGAATTCTTTGAAATAGGCTTTGCTTGTATTCTTCGGTTAGATAAAGACCGCCTTTATTTAAAAATCGTTGTACTTCTGATTTACTTTTAAAAACACATTTTATGAGCGTAATTAAATTTGAACTAACTTTTTCTTAACTAATTTAAAAATTCCCATATATCTATATTTTCTTAAAAAACCCCTTCCTCGCAGCCCCTGTGAAAAATGATAATGCTGATGGGCCATGGTGGTGTTGCCTTCTCATAGTGTCATATTTTTATGATTTTTATGTTAATTCATAGCCAGCGACGACGTCGCGGTTGCCAGTTCTCGAAACACCCCATCTCCACCCTTTCGCAGACTCCTTCTTTCTGCCAAATGCTTTTTAATCCTTTTAATGAAAATTAGTTCCTCTCAATAACATTTAATATATTTTCCTTTGCTTTCGGCGAGTCCTTGTTTCTATCTCCCGTGCCCGTTGTTTTCACAGGCATTATCATAATTTCTGTTTGCAACCCTAAATCAACACTGCTGGTTTTTTGGAACACCCCAGCTCCTCCTCCCTCAACTCGGTGAAGGGTTACTGGTCCTGTCCATTTTCGGGGGTTCACTTGGTTCCCGGATTTTCTCTGGGGCGGTCGAGGAGGGGGCACAATAATGGCACAAGATGATGCTGCAGGGAGATACTCCATTTTTGGCATATATCACAAGGTGATAACCTAAACCCCACCCACCTACCTATCCATAAACCCCATGACCCCGCCTTTGTCTTTGACCTTTCGCGTTTGATTTCCTATGCAGCGTTAAATGGCATTCTGGTCCACGTGGCTTTTCCGCGAGCTCGGGAAAATTGAAAACCCAAAAGCAGTAAAAATTAATGGGCGTAGCGAAGGTGTTTGCCAACTCATAGAAGCGATTCTCGTTCAGTAACACTCCGTTATCGATAATGTATCCTTTGGCGGGCTAAAGTCTTCCCTAAGAGATGGGATTATTTCGGTAGTAATCTTAAATTCATAAAAAGCACTTACAATAATTCACGTTGTAAAGAATTTATAAATAGATATCCAAACTTTAAATTATTTAGGGAACTACAATAAACACAAAGTAATATTTCTTATTTTTCACTTTTCATAGACTTTCTATATAACAAAATCATAAGTATATAAAAAGTAAAATGTTTATCCAAAATAAATTCAAAAAAGGTAATATTATGACTAACAGAATTTTTAGTAATGCGTTCTCTTATATTTCTTGTTTAACTAAAGTCAGGGATTTTTAAATTTCTTGGCTTATGGATTCCTTTTAAATTGTACTTTTGAATTTTGCCCACTTTCGCTGGCATTTTCGAACCGAGTTTGTTAAATTTCCCCTGCAAACTGGGCGCCATAGACACTCCGCATTAGCTATGCGAATGATGCAGCCATAAAGAAGTTCATTAGATGCCAAAACAGCGGGGGAATGGAGCGCCGTGGAGTCCATGGTTCGATAGACAAAGGACGGCATCTCCGGGAATATTTTGTTCATGCATTATAATCATTATCATTATTAGCATTATTGTCAGGCAGGACAGACTTTGCTGAATTATGCAATGCAGTCCGGGGGGAAATGGGGCGTGGGCGTTTGGTGGTGGTGGGGGGGCAGTCATTTTCATTTTGCACGATGGAATGGTGAGAAAAACCCAACTCGTTCATTTCATTTTCGTTGTCAAATGCAAAAATCGCGAGCCGAAAGGCAACGCTTCCTTTTCCTTTTTCCTCTCTCACTCTGTGTTGAAAATTTTCCAAAAATTCTATTATTATTAATAGAGGCAAAGAGAAGAGAAAGGAAAGTCGGCGGCGTTCAGCGAGGCGACCATGACGACTGCCTTGGCTTTTGGATTTTTGGTCCTTGTATTTGGTTCCTTGTTCCGTGTTCCTTGCTGCCGGTATGCGTTTGTCTTTTCGCCCGAAAGCCGACTACAATAACCCCGAAAAATGCACACAGTTTGCATTATAATGCGAAATTTTCGATTGCTCATTTGTGGCATTTACTTTTTACTATAAAAGTTTTATAGCCACCCAGAGGAGGCAGCCGCGAGTAATGCACGGTGGAAAATTTGATAGAAATATAACAATATTTTATAGGACCTTAAGGTCATATCTCTTTTCAAATTAACATTTACAGTTATTTTATTGTTATTAACTTTAAATTGAAATGTACAAATAGTCGCCTAACTCTTTAAAAACTAAAATTCAACAAAAACGCGAATTCTTCAGGAAATGCCTTGTTTACTCTCTCTGTTTGATTTGGCCTCTTATTGTGATTGAAATAAAGGATTGTTTTTTGCCATAGATGAATACATCGTTTAAGAACATACGTATATGTTTCTGGGAATATTTTTTCACGTGCAACAGCAGCAGCAACATCAACGACAACGGCAACACGAAGCGACGACAGCAGCAACAAAATTTTACACAATGTCATCAACGGTGGCTGACAATGTTGGATGTGGGCTGGGATGTGGGGTCTTTGGGATGTGGCTGGAAAGCAAAGGAAGGACACTGAGACTCTGACAATTGTGTGCAATTTTTGGGCACTAAACTTAAAGGATTACTTTTGGCTAATTTCGCACTGCTTTTTGCCAATGCCCGAGGGCCGGTGGACAGCCTCGAGAACTAAAGGCTCTCTTGTTTAGGCCGCTCGACAGAATCTTTGATGTTGCTCTGCCTTAAAAGTAGAAATTCTTTGTCTCCAACAAAAAGGGGGGCTACGATTCCCAACCCAACCAAAATTGAGTTGAACTAGGATGGGAAAACTCTGGGCACAATTCTTGGTAACATCGAAATTATTTAAATTGTTAGACTTGTTCAAGAAATCATTGAGAATTTTCTTGGTATATTATTTTGGAATAGAAATTGTCAGCAAAACACAATAGAAATACTACTTCAAAAGGAAAATATTTTGTATTTCCTTGTTTAATATATTTTTTACCAAAATCCGATTTATTTTTCCTAAGATTTTCTCTGTAGAACTTTAAAAGGAGAAACATGTTAATAAAAATGTATAGATTGTTATAATAATATTTTGTTGTGATACTTAGAGAATAAAATCCCACACATCATTTAACCAATTATTAATTATAAACAAAATTCCCAAAAGCAAGCATTTATTTTAAAAATATTAAAAGCTAACTGCTCGGTTTTCAGACTACTTAAGGAATATGAAAGCCCGGCAATGTTTTGGATATGGAAATTACTCCGTCTGGGAAACTTTTTCGCCAACTTGAGTAGAGTTTTTCCGCCCAACAGCTGTGGGACACCACCTGACCCCATTCCCCAGCCACTTTGCCACTTTGGTGTCTGTTCATAAGCCATAAAAATGCCAAAAACTCATTGACTTATGAGGCATTAGCCGGGCTATAGTACCCCCCAAATAAATTGGCAGAGTTAGGCTAATATTCAAATTGGATATATATATATGTACACACAGAGATATATATTACTTATTACGCGAGAGAGAGAACATCTATCTATATATAAATTAGCATTTTTGGACGACCGACGGTCGCCTTGGAATGGTTTATTAATGGCAAATTAAAAGCAATAAAAAACAGATGTGCTTAACGTGGCACATTCCGAAAAAAGTGAGTGTGGGGTTCGTTTTTGGGGAGAATGGGGGATGGGTTTATAATTCTCTGGACTGGGTTGCAGCTCATCAGGAGATTTTGCTGTGCGCACCTTTTGCCAAGTTCGGCGACTTTGTTGTTGTCGTTATGAAAATTACTTTGCTCTTTGCTGCCGCTGCGGCATTTATGGAAAAGAGGCGGCTGTGAAAAAGGGGGGCAAATAACCCCCCCCCCCCCCCCCCTACACACGGGGGGCGAAAAAAGAAAGTTTTGCATTTGAAATTCTGGTTCTGGCTGCCTTTTTGCCTTATGCAGTTTATCATTTTTGCAACGCGCCCCCATTATCCCCACCCACTCTATCCATTCAGGTGGGTAATTTTAATTTTAAGCTTGAGTAATGACAATATTTACTTCCACTTCACCGTTATAGTCAAGCGGTACACGCTTTAATGGCATTTTGATTTGAGATTTTCC